AACTCATTAAAAACTTAGAGGGTTTGCTTTCTAGAAGCGAAGTGCACCGGTTACAATAGATAAATTCTACTAAATAACTTTAATACCCTACGAATGATAAATTTCCGAAAAACACTATACCACGTGAAAAAAAGTTAGGACGACTATCGACGCTCCAGTCATGTCTGATGGATTCATTAACAAGTTGTGAAATAAGCAAAGAAATATTGAATGCGTCCGAAAGCAGAGCATTTTCCTTGGTTTTCCATCTAGATAAGGCTTACATTATTTATAATCTCACTTCACTTTTACAAAATGAACTTAGCCTGAGATTGTGTTCTCCCATCTACACTTTCAGCCTATTTTACACAAAATAGTTCATTGATTTATTTTCAAATATTTGTAAGCAGTTCATTGACAGTAGAAATACCTTCCTAAAAAAGTGGTTATTAAAGTTGGTACAAAAACCTTAAGTTTGTGTGGAAGAAGTTGTATGACTGTATAAAGTGTCAAACCAAGTGATTTATTGTGACTTGAGTTGAGATTATGTTGGCTGAGCGAGAATAGCCTTGTCGTTGGATTTTTGTGAAAGATATATCTCAGGTTTTCGGGTTTATTATTTAATGTAAAAACAGAATGAAAATGTTTGAAAATTCCCGTACTCTTTGCCGTTCGGAGATGAATTAGTAACTGACTAGTTAATGTTTTGTACTCAAGTTGGGAAACAAGCCATCTTCGTCATCATCAGTCACGCTGTATGCAGTTGCTTTCAACATATCTTTTGTTTTAGTTTACAGATTTTCACGTCTTTCGTTCTTGTAGTTTACCTAGAAATGCGCATCTCCACTAATTCCACATCTTAGATGCTATCTGTATGGAACAGAATAAATTATTCTTTGTATATTCTTGTTTAACCATACATGGTGGCGGATCAGGCAATTAGTGACTTTCGACAATCGTCTTAGTTTTGATGATCGAGTGGTTTGTGGTAGGAGTTGCAGTAAGGCTAGACAAATGAACTTGTTAAAAATAACATTTGAAACATCATTACGATTTTTAAAAGAAGTTGACACACCGAACCGTCCTGAAGACAATACTGAACTGGGTTCATTTACTCTCTTGCATTACGGTTAATTTCCCAACAGTTTCGGTAACACAGTGCGTTTGTTCAACGCTTTCTCAGAGCTTTCTGAGGGAAAGAGATGCTGGAACTAGATATGGCAGATACGGTCCATTCATCATTAATGGTAAACCTCTATATTTCACATTCCATAGAGGCCAAAATTAGAACACACAACTGTTTAGCCGTAAGCTTTCAGTTGTTGTAGTAGTTTGAAATGGCCTCATTTCCTAAACACTTAATGATTGGATTTAAACCTAAAATGATTGGAAGAAATTATACTGACTTGAAAGTACGGGAAACGGTGGATATTAAGCGCTTAAAATAGACAACATGGTTTGGTTATGAAGGCATGATCACTCTCAGTAACATCATATTACTCATAATTAACATATCTTCCTTTTTCAATCAAAATATGTTATTCAGAAGTTCTAAAGAGAATACAGCCGAATGTCACGATAGGAAAAGTCAGTATATATTATGGTGTGAAGATCTTATGGGTTAAATAGTAACCTCATGGCTTGGCTACAGTGGTAGAATAAGTTTATATATAGATTAGCATAGGTGGGTTAACTAATCCTACAAGTTTCATATATATACAGTAGAATTATCTTAACACTTACATTCAAAATTATCAATTCCGCGTAAACTGATGGTCATTTAATTTTCTTGGTGTTTTTTCGATCATAGAACTGCTGCCCTTATTTCGCTAATTCGCATCTTCACATAAGCATCAATGAAATTCCATAAATTCTCTTACTTTTAACTGAGCGTTTTGGTTACATGTGATCTGATCGTTGTTCAATGCTCCTTGTATGCTGCCCTTCCCATAGTGGTCCGTTTGTTCAAAGGCTTTTCTTATATTAGTACTTACGCTCCTCCTGAATCTTTCAGGAGATAACGCGAAGTTTCTTCTGCACTGCTTCTGTTTCTTGCTTTCTTTCTGGTATGCCAACTCGACTTCCAATTTCTCCATTCTTCATTAGCATGGTGACCATGAAAATTTCTCGATTTTACAGCTGTGGACATCTAAAGACTCAATATTTCGATTTAGTAAATGGTGATCCCGGTGCTATCGTGTTGTAGTGGCGATAGTCGCTAATTGAAGCTGAACTATGATTACTAACATTACAGCTAGATACTTGAAGAAGGTAGAAAAGGGGAACTCGATGACGCTCTATTGAACAGCATAGTTTAATACTGCTGGCGTATTCATGCTTCGAATTCTTTCGGTCTTTCTATAAAGTACATTATTCTATCCTCGATCTGTCTGTGGCCTTCGAAGTTTGTGGTAGAAAACTACTGACTGTTACCATATGACAACTCAGTTTACCAAAACTTCGACTTGCATTGATTCTATTCGCATTATTACAAGCGTGTGTTTGTCTTACTTGAATATATAAAAGTTTAAAACAATTACATTCAGGCACTGACACTTCAAAAGGTTCAGAGATGGCTAACGCGTCAACACTTAATCAAGACTGCATAGTTAGGTTATGTAGGCGTGATCCATTGTGTAAACTCTCGCTTTTTATACTTGATATATTATTATCATTTCAGCCAGAATGTGTTCTTTAGGAGTCCCAAAATACCGACTATCACAATAGGATAAATTGGCAAAACCATAATAATGTACGGATGGACTAGCCACATTCCAGATAGTTTATCCTTGATCTCCGGGTATAGTTTAACTGTTCTCATGTTTCAATAAAGTTTTGACATGATAGTTGATGTAAGTTGTTGACGGAAACTGTTAAGTTTGTCACTAGGTATGCTTGAAGCTATTACGAACGAGACAATTGCCAGGGTCCAGGTAGGCTACCTTGATACCAAACTGCAAAACAGAAGTCTTTATAAGCGTAGAAAGTATATTCTACAACACCCGACGAGCACAATGTAATCAAGCACACAAATCTCGTTTAGTTATACATCATAGAAACGTCCTTGGGACAGTCATAAAAATAGAACACTAAAATGCACAGCAGACAATCACGGCCAAATTAAATTAAATCCCAGGGTCAACTGATCAGCCCATGCGCGCAAACGTGAAATCCAAGATAAGGCATTTATCAAGCGAGTTCCAGGGATCTAACATCCCCCACAGCTTTAACTCTTGACGCTATCACCCAGCTCAAATTCGTATTCCTAATTCTCCATGGACAACCAACGCACATTTATCAATTACGTACCACGAACAAGGGCATGCGGCAGTAGTTCCGTTTTGCACTTCTGGTTACTTTCATTACTAATGTATACAGTTGAATGTTGAGTTTATTCATTCTTGCCAGTAATGTGCTTGGTACTATAACATAATCCACGTTGAGAAACAACTACTAGGCATGACTTCAACGTCAGCTAATAGGTCACATCATCCCCATGAATCTTCAGTAGGCCTTCAACCACAAGGTATGATCACCTATATTAGTTTCTACAGGCTTGTCAGTCCTAAAACTTACCTTCTAACCTCTCCGGTTACTTCTGATACCTTTACTACCTCTTCTACTATTGGATTTGAATTGACAATTATATCTCTGTGCTGATGTATGCAACATGAACTGATGTATTTACGTACGTACGAAGTTTTCGGTCATTTTTGATCTGCGCCTTGTCTTGTTCTGTTCTTGTTTGAACGTGATTGATCTCTCTATTTCTGTCCTCCTTTATTGATAAAATTTGTAATACTATGTAATACTATGTAATACGTAATACTATGTACCCAGCTGTTCTAAGTATTCTCAGGTTCATTTTTTATAGCCGTAAATTAAGAACTATGGTAATGTTTGCAGCAAGAGTTCAGAGTTTCGTGGTCCCTTTCCAGTGCAATCACCTTCTTCCTCGCTTAGAATTACTGGTCTCAGCATGACAGTATCATCGAAGTTCTTTGAAATGGCGTCTCAGTTTAAAAGTTCTATGAGTACAAATCAGTTCACAACACTGTCAAACGAATGCCGTGTCTTTCTTCTGATTGCTTAATTCACCCAAAAGTATATATATATAATTATTACTTTTCAGTATCGCACACCACGTATCCATGTGGATATGCTTTCCAGGTAGTCTGCTACGAAACTTTTTCAATCGGGCATTTTCAGGTCCAAAACATGAGCTTCATGTTATCTTCACAGTGAAACTCATAGAGAACGGCCGCACCAACCTATTGTAAAAGAAGTTCATTCCAACTAGTGATATCAGGGGACTAACAATTTGGAGATTGCTACTGTTCAATTTTGTCTTATTTTATTTACTAGACAGATCAAGATTTAATTTATATAGCCATCGGAGAGATGATTCCTTTTGTAGTGGTCAATAAATTCTAGAAATAAATCGTTTTGTAAGTCGTTAACAATGATGCTGACTTCATTGGTCCTCCTAGATACACCCTGGATGAAGGCGTTCTATCATGCATCCGCATCAGCCCACAATTGTTGACACCGTACTACACATTTTTCGTAACAACTAGATCACACACTTATCTACATATAACTTTTGCAAATATATTTTAAAATCTATTCCTGACTTGTGGTTCTACTAGGTTCTAAATTCATGGCTATGAAAATGTTACACACAAAGTTGTTCTTAAGTTTTGAACAACTGTCAAATTTTCAACCCTATTCTTTTCCACTGAGTTCACTACATAGATAACCCTAGAGGTCTAATAGATGAGCTAGACATATTTTGACAATGGACAGAGGTTTCGCAGAATTGTAGTGCTTAATCTGATTACTCATTGGAAGAGTTGTTCAAAGCAATGTATTGAAAGGTGATCTGGTGCTCATACCTTCATATTGTTGTTTTTAGATCTTAGTTGTAGCATTACCATAGATGACGGCTGACACGAAAAATTGAATTTTCACGGGAATACCTGCTTCTGTGTTTATCAAGTATCGAATAACAAATTTTTAATTGGTAAAAACTGATGAAAGCCTGGTCCATTTGGACAAGTAGCGATAAGTCATCATTGCTATTGGTTGTGGGCAATACGAATTCCATCCTCCGACCTTGAGGCTGAGCCCATATGACCCTTACCAAGAATCTACTGGAAAGGCTTAGAGATAACAGTAATAAAGAAGTGAGTAAACTTTTGAATACTATAACTAGTGTGTGAAACAACTGAGTGGATTTTTTCGCTCTGCGAAATCGTAATTTAACGCATCTAGTTTTCAATTTTAATGTTAGACAAACTTCTGGATAACTGCATGACCTATTTTTCTTGAGGTTGTGCCAGGGATTGCCTAAAGTTTTTTCTATGCACATGAATTCTAATCGTCTCCTAGACTTTGGTCACACTTGGCAGTTTTGGGACAGAAGCTATCTGTCCATTATATTTTGGAATGGACGGCATGCTTTAACTTTTCAGTTGTTGAGAGTCAAATGTGTGTGAAAGCACGTTACATACTGTGTTATGAAAAAACATGAATATTATCATACTTGCTTTTTGTCACTTCCTATAAGCACCTTAGGCTGCGACATCAATAAAAATGCCAAATGGGTCATAGTTCTTATGGCGTTTAGTCTCTGATTAGTGATTTTCCTGCATTTGTAAAATAACTAATTTCGTTTCTTGTGAAGGCTGGCCTTCAGTTAAGCTTATTTTAGGTGTTTCTCCTTCAGTTGTTCATTATTAATTTAACCCAACTTAGAAATTGGCTATCGTTTTGCTTACTCTCTAGTTACATTTAAGTGGAGTGATTCGTAGTACCACTTCACTTCTCTGGTAGAATTAAATGATTTATGGCTCAATTCGCCAAGGCTGCGTTCCAGCCACAATGAACTACGCTAGGATGAAAAATCGGCTGGTTAGATTGCAAATCTTTATTGAGTAATGTAACTGGGACTTCCGTCTTGTATTCTAAACTACCATCTACCTCGATGTGGGGTATTTCTGGATTGGCAAGTTAGGGGAAAGCCAGTTTCAGTCAAACCAGGAAGTTGCATCAGTTCTCAGAGTTAATGTCTTTAACTGAGCCTTGTTGGTTACCACATTTTACATGGTTGTGGCTCATTTAACATTAGCGTTCGTTGATTTCAAACAGAGAGTAAGGTGGACCGATTTTTGTCCTGGTTGAACAGTCGCATCATGCCATTATCTTGCATTAGACTGTGGTGTGACATGACTACTTGGTTTCTTTCATTCTTTCCTTGATAATCTGCTTTTCGCGCCATTAAAGATCCTTTCACCAAGTAAGCGATCCATCACCTACTAGTCTAAATAAGTTTCATTTATTACCGTAAAATGTTTGATAGCGTAATACACTGATCACCTTATAGCTACATTACGGTAGTTGTATATATGGAAGTGAACTGGAGTTATGTTAACGTTAAATATTGTTTCATTTTATTTCATCTGTGAAATAAATAAACCTTTGGAACTAGTTGACTTCAGTATTTTTCACAAATATTTGGTATTTTTTTGCAGGATATTTCGTTTACAAGAATTCCAGTGCAGCTTAAATATAAGTGTGTTAAATAATGTGTTCACATCAAAGTGTACTGTTTTAAAATTATTTTAACTCGGTCGTAATCAACTGTCTGACAGTAATTTGGTCACTTCAAACACTTTTCATGTTTACATTTAGCTAATATATCTTTCCATTTTGAATAAAGGGCTTTCAGGTCGTTCAGAATGAAAATTTTCAGGCTTCAATTCCAAACAATTTTCCTGGTGTTAGCGATTTGGTTTCAAACGAACTTGCCCTGATATCAGTTTGTTACAAGTTAATTCATCTGATCCTTTAACTTACTAGGATATTGTTAAAAGCGATGTTTCACTGTCTTCATATCATAGTCGAAATTCGAAGCTATACGAGTTACTGGATTTATTGGTCAAAAGTCTCGAAAACATCGTTATTAAACACGACGACCTGGTCAAATATCTAGTTACAATGGATAAGCAAGAGTCATACTTACCGGTTTTATTCAACTCCAACAAGTTAGTGGAGAGAGTTTCATAATCATTTTTAATTCCAGAAAAGCAATTGAAACAATTATGTCTCTGGACTGCTGTTTAACTTATCAATCTTCAGCTACTAGCTCATTCATTCCCCAAGAAAGACTTATGGAGTTGGTCTTGGATTCGGTAATTACTTATCAGTATATTATTCGGATTATGCTTTGTAGAAAAACAATATTGAGAGGTTAAAAAGTTTCAATCAGCATTTGGATTTACTAGCTTGTCAGCTTAACGAAGCTAGTAATTTAGTAAATAATCTGGATGAACCTTACACCGTATTTAAACATATGGAAGGGTAGAAATATCGTATATATTAGCTTTCATGAATACAAACTGTGTGTTATTGACATTTTTACGAGTTATTGGCTGTGTTACAATCTGTCCTCATTTATATTTTTAACAATATTTTTTTCATTAAGTTCATATGTTCTGTCTGTCAGTGAAGGATTTGTCTGGGGATGCAATCTTAAATATTTTTGACACTATTTATCTTCACGCAAGGATAGTAGTTTATCTCTTTATTTAAAATGCATAAATATTGGTACAGGTAGGCACCGAAATATATGTGTTCCACACAATAAAAACGAGGTTGTGAAGAAATAGAGAAAGAACGGAACAATAAAAACGTAAATCAAAATCAGCGTATGAGACCGACAAACAGATACAACTCAGAACTTCGTACGTAAGCAGATCAGTTCGGGTTGCCATACCACATTAGCACAGAGACGCAACTGTCAGTTCAAATCCAAGAGTGATAGCGATAGTAGAAGTATTAGCAGTAGTGGAGAAGATTAGGGTTAGAAGATATGATTCGAGAAGTATAATTCAGTGAGATAAATTTAGGAGAAAGATAGGGATTATGTCCTCATAATTCAGAAGTTTTGAATTAAAGAGGACACAAAGAGTGGATGCAACTGCAACGTTGCAAACAACTCTGAGCTATGTCATTCAAGGTCTCTAACCATTGGTGACTTTCGTCTCGCGGATCCCAACCAGGTAGCCTACATCTACCAACATGAGTCAGTCCACTTGTCAGTTATTTCATGGATTTCTGCCATGTTTTGGTCTGGCCGCCCCTAGCTTTCTTCCAACCTATTCCCACACTACAAAACATTGCTCGTCGAGGCAGTCGGTGGTTAGGCATATGCAGCACATGTCCCAACCACCTCAACTGATGAAGTTTCATTACTTCATCTATTGATCTGCCATTCTTACCTAGTACCCGTTTCCTAATAACAGCGTTGCTCACTCGGGTGTCCCAGGATATACGAGCAATGCTTCGAAGACACCTATGATCGAAAACCAATAACCGACGAATATCTTCTACTCTTACTGGCCATGTTTCACAGCCATAAAGTAAGACGGAGCGAACTACTGCACAGTACACTCGTCCTTTAGTCAGAAAACAGATATCTCGCCTACGCCATAAGTGACGCAGCTTGGCAAAAGCCAATCGAGCTTTCTGTATCCGAGCTGAGATTTCGTCAGTCACCAGGCCATCAGCACTGATGAGACTCCCAAGATAAGTGAAGCTGTCTACACGCTCGACTACTTCACTCCGTATCACTAGTTCAGGGGCCGATGCAACCCAATCTTGAAGCAACATTTTGCATTTCGAGGGGGAAAACCGCATCCCGAACATGCTTGCATTGTTGCTCAGGGTAGTCAGAAGACTCTGCATTCTGTCAGCGTCTTCACCAAGTAGGACTATGTCATCGGCATATTCTAAGTCAATAAGCGAGCCACCTGGTAAAACGTCTACTCCTGAAAATTCAGACGAGGATAATGTTATGTCTAGGAGCATGTCTATGATAAAATTAAACAAGAATGGAGAGAGTCGACATCCCTGATGGACACTTGATGTAGAGAATTCCGGTGACAGTTCGCCATTAGCTCTCACTCGACCAGTGGTGTTCGAGTTAAGGGCTTGTATAAGGTTAATGTACTTCTTTGGTACACCTTTCAATGACAGACACTGCCACAGAACCTCACGATCCACCGAGTCAAATGCCGCCTTAAGGTCCAGGAAAACAACTATTGTAGGACGCCTAAATGTATGTCTGTGTTCTAGGACCTGTCGTAGTGTTGGGGTGTGGTCTATACAGCCGCGTCCAGGTCGAAATCTAGCCTTGTTTTCTCTAGTCTGCTCTTCACGAGCTTTCGTTAAGCGTCGAAGTACTACTGAGGCCAATATTTTAGATACTATATTAGTTAGACTTATTCCCCTGTGATTGTCACAAGAAGACTTTTGTCCTTTCTTGTAGATTGGGACAATCAGTGATTGAGACCAGTCGGATGGGATTGCGTCCAGTTCCCAGATTCTACCTAAGATCTCAGTCAACCTAGCTGCTAAAATTGGACCACCATCCTTAAATATCTCAGGAGTCTGTCTATCAGGACCTGCAGCTCGTCCTCGCTTCAGATTTCCTAACGCTTTCTCAACTTCATAAAGACTAGGGGAGCTTACGTCGATTCGCCTTTCAGGATGACTCGAGATCGTGGGTAACCGAAGAGTAGCTCGAGGCCAGTTGAACTGATCCCTAAAGTGTTCTGCTCATCGATCCAGTTTCCTGGATTGAGAATGGATAATAAGACTATCCTTTTCCGAAATAGTCTTACTCACACTAGCATTCCTAATACCAGTTTTCTTGATGAGTCTAAAGAGTTGCCTACTTTTGCCTATCGCCGCAGCCTTTTCCAGTTCGCTCACTTTCTCCACCCACCACTATTCTCGATCATTGCGTAGGCTTTTTGTCAGCCTACGTCTTAGCTGACTCCACTCCTCAGAGCCAGTGTAGTGAATGAGATCACAGGTGGAGGCAACCGAATTGTATTTAACGAAAATTACAGAGTTACTCAGTAAAATCGGAAAACCATATCGTAAATCGCTCATTTGCAAAAGATCAGTTCATCCTATGGAACTGGACTGTTCCTGTTGCCAAACATCAATCCATTGTCACTCTTCATGCGTTTCATACAAATTCCATTGTTTTCTGACTCTTCCTTTCTTGATCTTCCCCCCATATTATGCTACCAGACTTTACGTTGACACTCCCGCTATATACTACTTATAAGTAGTTCGCACCACAGCACCACACCAGGCGGGATGAGTTTTCGAGCATCCATCAGTTCGGTGGATGCGACTGATATCCACGGCTTCATCCTAGCCTTATGGTTTACCTTACTAGAAGATATCACTGCTGTTTCCACAGCCTTCTTGATATCCTTCCAACCTGCCTCCGGATGGGAATCGCTTACATGGTTGCTTAACTCTGTTTCTAGTTGCTCTTGAAATATTTTCTTAGTTTGATCATCATTAAGTAAAACCCTAAGAGGTTTCCTTACGGTGTCTTTCATACGCCCCGTAAGCCTCAAACAAATACGAGCTCGCACTACGGCATGATCTGAATCTAAACATGTGCCCCTGAACGAGCGACAGTCCTCTATCGAACCCTTCCATCGATGGCAGATGGCGATGTGATCAAGTTGGGTACAACGTTGAGACGACTTCGGGGATCGCCATGTCAAGAGATGCTTTTCCTTATGCCTAAAGTTAGTGTTTGCTAGAAATAGGCGGTTGTCTGAGCACAGTTGCCACAGACGGTCGCCATTGTCTGTTCTCTGAGCCGCGAGACCATAACATCCACCTAGGTGTCTTTCATTTTCACTCAGTCTACCTACTTGAGCATTAAAGTCACCAGCCATTATTACTACATCAGTGCGCCTAGCTTTTTGGAGGAGTTCCGAAAGCTTTCTGTACAACTCATCTTTCACCTCGTCCGAACTGCAGTCAGTGGGGGCATAGGTAGATATGACGAAGAGGCAACGGCGAGTGTCCCTATCTTTCCGAGTCCTTACTGTCCCGTTCAGTCGGACAGCGCACAAGCGACTATCTACTGGGATACAGTCTAGGAGAGATTGTTCAGCTCTACAACTCAATGCTGTGCCTACGCCAGCAAGACCCCTGGGCATCAGGGCTACTGGATACACGAAGAGTAAATCGAGCTGCTTCTTTATTTTGACAAGGTGAAATCAGATTAATAATTTTACTAGGATCCTGTATGCGCATTTCAGAGACGCAGCATACATCGATGGAGCGAGATTCTAAAGTCCTAGCTAATGATCGCTGTTGCCCTATTTGACACAATGTCCGTACATTAAAAGCTCCAACATGTAGTTTAGAACGGGGTTTCAAGAGATCAGGAATGACGTTTCGTGAATTCGCTCCGTCTACATTAGCGGTATAGTGAGAAAAGGGACTGTGAGTAGAGTTCGTTGTGGAGAGAAGAGGGGTAATAGGGGTTGTAGGAAGGATTTGATTTCGACCAATTTGGTCTCGTGTGCTGTTACAGGTATGAGGGCGATTGTCACTTCCCGGCTGCCCACACCGTGGAAGGTTGTTTCTTGAGGAACCTGAAAAGGAAGATAGATTAGTGTTGGTCTTAGAGACCTGGGTGCGTGATCGCAGAGCCCAAGGGACAACTGCTTGAAGCCGGTCACGCACGGCCTTTTAATGAAAGGATTTCTGAGTGTTAGCTCCGCTCTTAAAAGCCCTTAGTGGGCACCCTTACCGACGGAGACGGAAATCCGTGAGGTAGGTTGAGGTGTGACAATTTTAGGGTCGACCTTTTCTAACCCTTCCTTCCTTGTGAGAAGGTAGCATCACTTCAGATGCTGGTTGTCCGAGAGAAACACCTTACTACTGTCACATATCTCTGGAGTCAGCAGTACGACTTCGCCCTCAGACCTTGGGTAGCTGCTTTTAGTCTGATCGTTCTCCAATCGACCTGCCTGGCATGGTAGAACCTTCAGGAACATATGTTACATCCAATATAGATCGGTTGGGTCATCACAATAGGCAAGCCCGACCACCACGTCAAGGAAGCAGCGATGGTCGGGATTAGTGTATGAGAGTGAAATAATAATAATAATAGTAGTTCATCCAAGGAAAGTAAAATCAGAAAGCATCCTTTCAGTTTAAGTTCCTCTTACTTATGTGAAGAAAGTAGAGTTACAGAAGGACCTTCACTTGCCTTCATTCTGAGTCATGTTTGATAAGGTTTCAAGTCACTAAGTGACTCCAATTCTAGAACTCTAACTAGGGAATTCTGACGAAGCAACAGATGCGAGTCCTCTATGGCTTTCTCCCATACCGCCACAGCATGTCATTCGTTGACCACATCTCTGATTTTTTTAACGAGTCATAGCCTTGGCAAATAATGCACGATATGAAATTACCTGGGAAAACATTTTTAGTATATATCTGAGCCACCGGAGTTGGTTACATAGAGTGAATTGTCGTTACTGTGCCCGGAGACACATTGCCACACCTCTGCACTACTAACAGTGTTGTCAATGGATGTCAACAATCCTTTGGAGACAACGGTGATCAAACACAAAGATTTCTAATACCTTCAAGTAGGAGATACCAGGTTTCACAAGTATACAGCAAAACTGTTCACCGACGCATTGTAAACCCGAGCCTTTACAACCGGACTAACATCCTGAAGGAGACAAAGGTGATTTAGTTTGGCTTAAGCTGCTCTGGCTTGCACTATACGTGAATCAGTCTCATCTTTCAAACCACCATCAGCATTCACATACTCGGGCACGTAAATCCTTCATCTACTTCTGTCTGC